TACAATTTTGTCCATAAGTTGCATAAGAGACTTAGAAGTGATCTAATGGCCCTTGCAAGTCTTCAGACAATTAAAGTTACTTGAATTCAATTAGTATTGTTTGTTTGAATCTTCCCATCGATGTGTTAGGACTGCAACTGGTCAGTCTCTAATTGGCATTTGTGCATACTGTGCGTATTGCCTCGATATAGCCTTAATTCACAAGCATTGTAAGCAAAGATGGATAGTGGCTAGCCGTGGAATCCAGGACGCGCGTTTCGTCCTATTTGGGACTCGTCAGCTGGATGTACCTGCATCTCAGAGTTACGTTACTCATTGCTCCAGTGAATAAAAGTGAAGAGAATTTAGTGAGGAAATCGTTTACTTGAGCTGTACACCCACATTTATAATTGTTTGACAAATATATGATTCTGTGAAATTTCTAACCCGTAAATTATTTTCGTACAACTATTCTTCTCTACTCTCTCAATGATTACACAACCTTCCTTTCATATTTAAAATCTCAGGTCATTTTATGAAATAATCTCTGCTATCCTTCCACGGACTTACGTATTTGTCGAAGAAGTTTAATTATGAATGAACAGTTCAAGTAAACGGTTACATCAAAAAGTAGATTTCCTTCGATGGACTGCGTGAATTTACCAAATGTATGGTTTACTTGAAATTTATTTTGAAAGGTTGTTTGTAGGAGTCTCAGAGAATGCCACAACTTTCTACAGAAGTGTAACTGGTTTATATCATTTAAGCCTGCCACAAAGTAAGTTCCTTAAACTTCGTTCCCAGTCCCTTTGTTTTAGCATTTGATTTGCACTTAAAATCTTTATCAGAGAACCAGAAGTTCAACCATATAGGTTTTTGATGACGTTTCTCTATGTACTGATAAATACTTTCATTCCTAAGTAGTTCTTCAGTCTTCCTAATGATACTTTCCTTTTACTACCGATGTTGTGTAAAAATAGTTAGAAAATTACGATTAAACCATTCATCCAGAGAGAGTAGCTTCATTAAAATTGTTTTCTTGAGTTACAAATATTAACCACTGTTTAGAGAATTTACGAGTTCTTTAGTAACAAGTACACAGGAAATACTGAAGAAAGAACCTCCGTTACTCAAAATTTATAGTCTAAGAAAAGCAAAGTCTTCACAATTGTGACACCTAGGTTTTTCACGCATAGTGAAGACAATTGCGAAATTGTTCAGCTTCCACAGATTACACCGTAGTGGGTTTTTGGATAGGCGATGACAATGAGTCTTAAATGAGGAAACAAATAGCTGTTCAATAATTCCTGATTTTTGATGGTTGTCTAAGATTCGTGTGTGATAGAATCTATGGAGATAGTGGATATTCCTGTCGTGTTTAAATAAACAAACTCCATTTTCATGTCATTTTTAAGATACCATTGGAATGAAATGACTGCTGCTTGAACTATGATAATTCACCTATGGCGAAGACGAGATATCCGTCTATCAATTAAGAGATGAGTTTACTGCGCAGCAGTTCGCTATGTTCTACTTTACGGCTGCGAAACGTGGTCACTAAGAGTAGAAAATACTCGTAAGCTACTAGTATTTGACCACAGATCCCTTAGAAAAATTCCTCTCATCTGCTGGGGTCACCGGGTAAGTAGTGAGGTTAGATACAAGGTATTAGGGAATGATGGTAAATCAGTTGATGAGGTCATGAATCTTCATCGACTGAGATGGTTAGGCCACGTGTTACGTATGCCTGAACATCGATTACCACGACGCGCTATGCTGACTAGTGTAGGGGATGGTTGGAAAAGAGTTAGAGGTGGCCAAACCAAAACGTGGCATCAGTGCTTGAAGTCACTAACTTCTAGTCTGAGCCATGTTGGTAGATGTAGACTACCTGGTTGGGGTCCACGTGACTATCGTAACCAATCGTTGGAGACTCTAGGTGACATGGCTCAGAATCGATCACAATGGTACAGGTGTATACACTCTTTATCTTCCCTTAAACCTTAAGATTAAAATTGCTTCATAACATTCTTCCTTCCTATACTATATCCTTATATACAACCTATCTTTTATATAATACCACCACTAAATTAACTATTTCTATGAATCCGGTGTTCATCATGTTGTGCTAACGAGGTATGGCAACTTGGACCGATGCATAAATGTGCCTGGTCCTACTTTGTAGCTGAATGACTGATCTATGATAATTGCGCGATATCTTTTTCTTCTGATAGAAATAATTGTGACAAATAATCTTGTCAAAAATAATCTTAAGTATCATGATTAATATTAATTTTTAGGTCACTTCCTCTTCTTTTGAGTTTCTGACTGATTCTATAATCCCAATGCATTTCTTCAACATACGAGGATATAACATAAGATTCTCATGTTCATTCGTTTTCATATAGGATTTCAAAAATTATAATGTAGGAGATAATCGTAGCTACCAAGTGAATTATTTTGATGCAACCAAGAAAAAACGAAAATTAAATAAACGGGAATCCTATCAAATTCATTAAATGTGGAGTCGAACTTCAATCGATATACAATAAATAATATATTTTTAATATCCTAATGAGTAGAAAAACTAGATTTTCTGATGTTTCGTGGCTCAGTCTAAGCCACTTCTTCAGAGAATAAATAACCGAATTAACATTAATATCAAATTACTACAAAAGGGCTTTTCCAATTACAAAGAAAGGAGAATAGCTGAAGCGTTCCATATGATGCTTAATCCTACTGCTCTCAATAGAAAGGAAGGCCTTACCATACATCCTACTTGGACTATCTATTCTAGTCACCTAATCTGATATAATTTACAATTCATACCATTACATTACAAATTAAACTCTATCCTTTCTCATTATAAAGGTCACACATTTTTTATCATTAACAGTGCACACATACACACACACACAAATTTACATACATGTCACTTATGTATCACCTTGACCGAAATGACATGACATTGATTTATTCAGACCTGTTTTTTTATTGATCTCACTTAATATTCGTGTTGTTCCGTTGTACTATTTAAACTTGGATTAATGTTAATTTGGTTATTTATTCTCTGAAGAAGTGACTTACACTGAGTTACGAAACATCAGGTCTAATTTTTCTACTCATTGGGATATTACAAATATATTTGTTTTATTTATAACAATCTATCCAATGCTCAATTTATTCAAAATTATCAAATCAAAACTCGGTAATGATACCTATAAATATACAACAGTTTATGATGTAAAAAGCGCCAAAAATATATTTCTTAAATACAATAATAAAAATTAATTTAATATGAATAATATTTATTCACAAGGTAAGTAAATTAGAAATTACAGTGACATCTGATAATGATTATTAAAAACTTCTACAACCAAACAACGACAAAAATTAGACTTTTCAAATTATTTCACCATAGAAGATGTAATTTAATACTCACATGAGAAAAAAAAAGAGCGATGGTAACTAACCAGAAAATCGATAAGAAAAAAAACACGGGATACATATAAATTATTGCTGAATAAATTTACTATCGAAGATTTTTTTATTCCCTTAAAGGATGATTATGTAGTTATCATTACTGTTGAACTTATTAAATCCTAAATTTTTGATTCATACTTAATTGAATTATTTACTTACTTAAGCCTGTTACTCCCAAAGGAGCATAGGCCGCCGACCAGCATTCTCCAACCCACTCTGTCCTGTGCCTTCTTTTCTAGCTCTATCCAATTTTTGTTCATTCTTCTCATGTCTGTCTCTATTTCTCGGTGTAATGTGTTATTTGGTCTACTTCTTCTCCTTTGGTTTTCAGGATTACATGTGAGAGCTTGTCTTGTGACGCGGTTCGGTGATTTCCTGATCTTGGTGAATTATTTACTCAATTAAATATAGAAAATCACAGATTAGAGACAGTAACATTATTTAATATAATACAAATAATGTTCGGTATATGCGCTTAAAATTTTACTATTTTTAGTTTGACTTATTTTCAGAGTGGTAATTAAAGTAATTTAACTTATAGATCAGAAGGGGTTTTGTGGAGAATTTAGTATTTTCATAGTTGAAATCATGAGTCAATTGAAGCTAGACCACCATGGAAAACCTGGATGCACTGGGATATACATGATTAAATACACGAATGTACATTAAATATACTAATTATCATAGTGATTTATACAAAACCTCAGATTATCTAAAATGTCAACTATAAAACAGTACATCGGGAAGTGATCGGAGAATTTAAGTGGCGATATATATTGTTAACTTCTTGTTACGTTTCGTTTTCTTCAAACATATTATAGGCTCTAACACGAATTGGACTGGAATTACATGACATTACGCTATCGAATTCCCTCAGTTTCGTATACCTTCTCAAAGGTAGAATCTCGAATATACTATAACAATACGTATTTGATGATATATTCATACCACCTTTTTATCACATCTGTTTATGTTATCATTTATATTTTATTCACTAAAGACAGCTCTAAGCTTACGAGATTAAGATTCGCCATTGTATCCTGTCAACCAATAATGCAGTATTGTGAAGTGGTGCTTACATATCATGAAAACATTCCATGTTTTGTACTATTAACAAGTCATATATAGTCAGCCTAAAGTAATCGCAACTTTCCCAATAACATATCCTTATTTTCTGTAACACTGTTTGTTAGTTCGTATAAACCTGATCATACCTGTAAATTAGCGAGCCTATTGTAACCATCTTCTTAAAATAATACTATTGTTTAGTTGTGATATCAGTGATTTAGCAACGGTTATATAAAAAATAAACTGCCTAAATGATAAACATTATTACAGTGATCTAACAAGATGTTCTCTTAACATTAATCCACATCTACAAGTACGGAGATAGATCTGACTATAAATCTATGAAAACTGTTTCTTGCTGAGTGTGAACTGAAAAGAAAATAGTTTTAAGAATAACGTTCGTTGCAATAGACAATGGTCTCGAGTCATTACTGTCAGGCATCCATATTTAAATCTAAGAACAATGAATTCAGCTGTCATATGAACAGAAAACGTGGTAAAACCATTTGTATAAATCTCGTACTAAGAGTAATTCAAATATCTAGCTTAGAGTAAACACATTTGTTTCATTAAATCACTACAATTTGAATTGAAAGCTACGATGAGACTTATCAATCAACAAACGAGAAATGCGTTAGTAGCAATCATAACTAAAACACCAATATACATATTATCCTCTCTATATGTAGAAAAATTAATGCATAAAATATACAACCACACAATTTACCAAATTACGTCAGCTAAAATTAGTTAGGAAAAAAGCAGACGAAAAAATGAGAAAAAGAAGGAAATCAAACAGAGGTTAGCAAATATGATGCATTGAAAATAAGTTCAGCCGTTAGACAATGAAGCAAATAAATTGTTGAGTGTCGTAACTGTTCTTAAAATCATTTTATTGTTCATAAATGTATGTTGTACAAGCATTAGGGTATATCTTTATTGAATAAAAGGAAATAATAGAAAACGGAATACATATTAAGCGAACCAAATCTTTCGAAACATCATCATAAACATGTTTCATAAGTGAAAAAAAATGAATACAAACTTAGTGATTACGCAATAATAGGAATGAACAAATTGAATAAGCAGTAATATTTAGTTTATAATAGAACATAAATTATATTGGAAATATTAAAGACTAGATGATTAATCAATGAATAACACGAGTTGACTTTTATTGAATGACATCGTAAAATAAAACCAAAGTGAAGGTTCTCGATAAGGTGGTTTCCTTTTTAGAATCTCATTTATTTAAATGTAAACATTATTAAAAAGAAAAACAATGAGATAATACAATCATATCATCAATCAATCAGTTGCAGTGAATCTTGAGTAAAGGCACTAGTGTGTTAAATGTTCAAGGTGTTATAAATGATTAATGTATTGTACATTTAACATTTATTGTAATATATATGAAAAGTAACTGGTGTACAGAGATGAAAATTTCAAATCATTAAACTAATTTTGTAGACTTTAAGTCAACTATCAGAGAATAAGAGTAGACATACATGATAGTAGTGATAATAATTGAAAATAATAAAGATTATAGTGTTAAGAATTAAGTCAGTGGAGTGAATGTACAAATCAATATATTATTTTCAATATTAATGAAAAGAGGAAAATACTAATTCATTCAACTAGAAGAGCTGTAGCATTCATATTAACAGTAAAATTAGGGGAAGATGGAAATGAAAAAACTTAATTGATTAAAGGTGATAATTCAATATAGGGTTAAATTGATATAACCAGTTGGAACAAAACCTTGACGTGTTCCATCTTCAGATACTACAGCTGTCCATCCAGAATTAGTTGAATCTACTTTTAAAACATAATACAGTTCTCCAGGCTTTGTTGCTAAATATGTAGTTCCATCACCTGATGGGAGGAAAAATGAGAAAAAATAAGAATTTCCATTAACTTAGGGGTCAGGTGATTAAATGTTTGTGATGAAAGTATTGAAATGCATGTTGAACTTATTAATATGATTTTATGTCAAAATTTCAACCGATTAAGAAAAATATATGTGAGGATCGTATCTTGCATGTTGAAAAACAAACTGGGCTTACTTAAATATCTCTAAATGGTAGGAAGATTCATTCTATGCATTTGCACTTATCACATAGAATCGAAATAGATAGACAGTCAAATTTGATCACATATAATAAAGCAATATCAACCTGATATGAGATATTGCCTTCCATTAGTAGTATGAAAATTATTTTAAAGAACTTTGGCAAAGAACTACCACAAAGACATATCGACTTTATACTGGTACAGATGATCAGAAATCAGAAGCCATAAAACTTTCGTTCATATATTCAACAATTCATGTGTTAATTCACTAGGAATGTGAGTCACAACTCGTTATTACTGTAAATAAAAAACGTTAGCAGCATTTACGAAACTGTTACTTTGTTATATCTAGAGCCTTGATTCTTAATATACCGCGAACTACTTGACTACTTGAACGATAGAACCCACAACGTCGCAAAAAGAGAGAAGACAAAGACTGGTTAGCAGGAAGTTTATTGCCCCGAACAGTGTCAAAATATAGCACAGAAATCTCGTGTATTTATAGTTATTGGCTGAAAATAAATTATCATTTAGGTCAACCAATAAGCACATAGGTATCAAACTAATCCATCCAATGGAGAAGCTCCACGTCGGCATTTCTAGAACATTCCCCTAGCCGTGATTGGATGGAATGTCTGCGGCTCTTCCTGGGCTTCTTAGGGTTTTCTAGAGTCTACCGACGGGCCGTCCTTACACCTCCCCCTTTGAAGTCTGTGATGTATGAATTTCTTTTTGGATTTTCTTGAAGCATTGTTGTTGTTCTCGTTTTTCTGTTCATCACCCATGTCGGCTGAACGCTCTCACTCTTAAGTTTTTCTAGTCGTTGGTTACGGCCTTCTTTCGGGTCTTTCTCCACCAGAATGTGGAACGGTACTTGTGTATCTACTGCTGCTGTTCTATGATTCCTTTTTATCTGATTCATATGTCTGGTACATTTTCCGTCCCTTCCACGGACTAAATAAAGTACTTTCCCGATACGCCGTACTATGACACCTGGTTCCCATTTCTGACCGCCTTGATACTTTACAAGTACTTTTTCGCCGCGGTCGTTCATCTGATACTCTTGTACAGGTTTTCTTCTTTTCTTGGGTGGCGATTTTTTCTCGAATATCCATGGGTTCTTTGCCTGAACTCCTGATTCACCTTCTCCTGCGGCAATGAGTACGTCTTCTCCATGTTTTGCCTGGGGACCAATCAGCCTTGACAGTGCATCAGATCTTACCGGACTACATATATGATTAATTGGCTGGTTAGCCAACTGCAACATTTCTATTAGGTCAAGACCAAGCAAATCTAGTCCTGGGCTTTCCGTGAGATATACTTTCACATTCTTCTGTACATTCCCTTTTTTAACTGGACAGTATATCTCTCCAACAATATTTAACTTTCCTCCAGATGCACTGTATGCTAACTGAGTTGTAGGGAGCACCGAGGGTTTGCCAATATGACTCCATGTTTTGCGGCTGATAAGTGAAATATCTGAAGCAGTGTCAAGCTGTAGACGAGCACGGCGCCCATTAATCTCTAAGGTCAAATATTTTCTTCGATTATGTTCTGTTCTAGTACGTGCTACCATTATTCTATTGATTGATGAACAGTTTTTACGTCTTCGGAAATGTACACTTGATGAACGACGGTGCATCTTCTTCTTACAACATGTTTCTTTATGTCCTTTGAGCTGACATCTAGTACACCGTTAGTTTTTGTATGGGCAGAACCTTTTGTAATGCAGCTCTCCGCAAAACCAACATGCGGATGGAGGCTTCTTAATGGTTGCGTTCTGCTTTTGCATATAGGAATCTTTCTTCCCACTTACTGCCTGTACATAAGGTAGTCGACCATTATTATCTACCATTGAAGTGTCATGCTTCAAGTTCACCAGACGCTGACATTCAGTAGTCACCTCTTGAAGGGTGATATTTGGACACTGTTCAATTTTACTTAGAATTCTAGTTCTGATGTCGGCATCTTCTGAAGACTGTAAGCTACATACGAAAACAAGACATTTGAATTGGTCTTCTGTCATTGCTGATAGTTTGAAGCGCTCACATTCACGATTTACTATGCTAGCATGTTGCACCCAGTCATCGTTGCCAGCTTTTACTATCTTCAGGCACTGATATCGAATATTGAACAAGGAAGACTGTTCACCGAAAATTTGCGACAAAATTTTAACTGTTTCTTCGAATGAAATGTCTCTTGGGTTCTTGGGCAGAATGTAATTAGTGTATCGTTCATGTTCAATGGTCCCCAGCTTTCGTAGTAGCACTCTGACCTTGGCGGCATCATCAAACGCTTCTAGGTCAACATTAAATACATCTTCATATTTCTTGTACCAAGATTCGAATGTTACACCAGCCAAACCATCAAAATGAAATTCGTGAATGGAATCAATGATACAATCAGCATGCGATTTAGCAGAAACATCTGTAAGTCCCTTCTTATTGAGGTTCATTTGCTGGGTTAGTGTTTCAAGTATGCGAATCTGGAATTGTTCAAAGCGTTTTTCATGGCGCTCTAGAAAAGCTTCAAATTGGTCAAAGGTAATAGACATATTGATAAATTAACCCGTCGCCAGTTGTTATATCTAGAGCCTTGATTCTTAATATACCGCGAACTACTTGACTACTTGAACGATAGAACCCACAACGTCGCAAAAAGAGAGAAGACAAAGACTGGTTAGCAGGAAGTTTATTGCCCCGAACAGTGTCAAAATATAGCACAGAAATCTCGTGTATTTATAGTTATTGGCTGAAAATAAATTATCATTTAGGTCAACCAATAAGCACATAGGTATCAAACTAATCCATCCAATGGAGAAGCTCCACGTCGGCATTTCTAGAACATTCCCCTAGCCGTGATTGGATGGAATGTCTGCGGCTCTTCCTGGGCTTCTTAGGGTTTTCTAGAGTCTACCGACGGGCCGTCCTTACATACTTAAAAATCGCTACTTAGGCGGTAAAATATTTACAAGCTTTTGTGTATTGCTAGTTAAAATGAATAATATTACCAGTGGTAAACAAATAGTTGAACAAAACAATTTGCAGCTCATCTGAAACTCAAAGCAATGGCGATTGAGTTTGAGTGGATAATCAACAGATAACTACTATATTTTGCTTTCAAATTTGGCTTTGAATAGTTTACTAGTAATATCTCAGCAATCGTCACTCATTGTCTAATACATTGAGCTACACGAAAGTACTGTATTGGTATGACCGTCTAATCAAAAAACTATCAATTATTTTTTTTGTTAGATTAAAGCTATTGCTGTAACCGATTTTTAGATAAAGACAATAGGAGCTAAATAACTAATGATGTGGTGTGGGTTTCTTATACCCACATAAGTAGTATATGACGATGGTGAGGCATAGAATGTATATCAGTAGAATATCGATAAGGAAAGAACGGGAACGAAACGTAATCGGTATGAAAATGCATGAACAATGAAATCACAGACGATGAACTGATGCTTGCAGAAGGAACAGTCAGGATTGAGACAACTGATTGATAGTATGCAAATTAACTGTTTACTGTATGGTTGCCAGATTTTAGTGAAATATTCTGTAATTTTGTGCTCAAATATATTCGGTTGTCCCCACTCGTGTTCTTGTTTACTATAAAGAGAATAGTTAGATGAACATTGGATAGCTGTCTTAAAATGTTCTTTTTTAATTACTCTACATCGTAACATGAAACTCGTCAATGTTACATAAATTTCTGGAAAACAACTTCCGCTATATTTGTGGCAAATGCAGCTTCCAACCCATTTTATACAGAGCGAAATTTCAATTTTAACAAAATACTGTGCGAGATCCATCAGAAGCTTTAGGTAGTTTTAAAAAGGAAAACCATACAGACATTTACTATGAACACAAAAGGCATAAAAAACAAAAGTCTCTTGACCACCCTACTATTAAAAAAAATATAAGTATTCGTCTATATACAAATGATTCTGATTTCCTCGTGCAAAATCAAAAATTGAAAATAAAATGGTTGGTTGTATTATCCATATTATTGATTTAACAAGCTGATAATCACTGCTGGCATGCCAATGGTAAAAAGAATAAAATAAGGACTCTAGAGGAACCATACAACTAAATGTTCCCTCTTGAAACACTTATTTAATTTCTGACTTCCTAATGACAATTAGGCAGAGAATTTTTTACAAACTTATTATATATTGTTTAAGTACTTCATCTAGCAAGTTCTCAAAAGTATGCCTGTAAAGAACGCTATATCAATCCTGTTAGTATGATTTTATCTTAGTTTTCCATTTAGTATTTTAATTTTAGAATGTGACCACCACACTTTTGACTATCGCAATATCAGAATAAACTAGGACATATAACCAGTAATATATTTACTGCGACTTTTTATGGATTCCGCGTGTTGATGTTTAACCATAGACATTGTGTCGATAAGTTGGGCAAATTTCAAACCAGTTATCTCTTAATAAGGTGAACTACTTTAAAGTTTTACGAATGTCTGAACTAAATTTACATCAACTGTAAGAGTCATTAGGTTGACTTGAGAAATAATTTCCTTGCCACGAACTGACCTATAGGAAAAAAGAGAAATTTTAAGTAAATTGTTGCTGATCGTTGATCTAACTAGTCTTTTTCTAGTTATTACTCATTGGATGGTAGTCTTCTAACAGGTAATCTGTTTGTCGCACTTGTATTTGCATGTTCTGAAATAGTTATTCATTTTGAACGTATGTAGTTGTACAGTTTCTGAGTTTTTCCTATGAAAGACTTTCAAGGTGTGAGATAGTGCAAGACGAGCTATCTGTATAGTATGATAGCAAATATGATTGAATCGTTTTGTGTTTGGGAATTTCACAAATACTTATTTTTAAATGACCAAAATCCGAATAGGCATAATCACAATAAAGGCTTGTTAGATAACGAAAGAAATAGGTTTTGAGAATTAAAAATCGTGCAACAGCAACCAAAATCCGAATAGGCATAATCACAATAAACCGATTAAAGTAGTGTCAATAGTTTAGATTTCTTAATATTTTCTTTACCTTCATATTCGTACAGAGCAGAAGCATAGCCGACATATCGAGTCCCTGCATGTAGATCCGAACTGCTGTTTACAGTACTATTATCTTTACTGTTATTCGTAGCATCGTCAGGATCCGAATCAAATGAATTATCACTTTCATCATCATCATCATCAAGGCTGTGAATTCAGACAAAATAATACATTTAAAAGTGAACAGGAAATGAAGTCAATAGAAGTAGGATCAATATTTTCACATAGATAACAATATACAACCTAAAAAAAAGCTTATTGATTTGTTGACATTGTTAATAATGTACTAACACGGTCAATTTGATGATAGCTACTTAGTTGCTAGTATGTGGATGCTTAATCTCAATATGCAAAGGCTTGTTAGATAACGAAAAAAATATGTTATGAGAATTAAAAATCGTGCAACGGCAACCGACAACAATGGATCGAAGTAACTCAGCAAACTATCAGTACACGTTTTAATGAAAACCAATTATATCAAGATTTTGCTTTAATATTTACAAAGAAATTGCCACTTAGACTTTTCCTACCCACTTGTCTTTGTAAAGTAATTATATTTCATTATAATGTTACGCGGTGTAGATATATATGGATATATATATGGATAGGTAAACATCAATACCAGTGTGTTGAATACAACTAATTCATTCTTGAGGTATTAAACTTCAGAGTGACTTTTTCTTACTTAATTACCATGTTACACTATTGCAGTTACTAAATATAACAATAAATTGTATCCATTATATTTTATGTTCAGTTGTTACCAACAAACAACAAGTTCAACAAACAGACAGAACTATTCTTTTTCTTTAAATTCCTACTTAATAAGTTCAAGACTATTTGTGTACTTTAATAAGAATTTATTTACTTATTTTTTAAAAAAGGAACTAAACTAAAATTAAAAAATAAGTGTTGACCTTGAAACCTCTCAGTTAGTGTGTAGATTGGAAAATGAAATAAACTGATTAAAGTACCACCTTAAAATAAGCAATCAAACAGGATTTATCATATTCTAGAGAAGTTAACTAGTTGATAAAAGATTAATAGAAGATTATAGTATGAAATAATTACAACTAGAATGGTTAAATACAAATGAACAAAAGAAATAAATGAATAGATTGACCAACTTACGATTTAGTATTTACAGATCGAATCTTAGAAGTATTTGTGTTATTATTGATTACAGCACGTGAACTAAGCCTTTCAGCTATTGATTCAGCTTTTGTATAGGCTAGATCACCACCTAGATTGTTGAATTTCACCTAAAAATCATTAGATTATTTTTGTAAAGAGGAAATTAATGATAGTTTCATAATAATTAATGGTAGAAACTTAAAGAACTCAACATTTGTAATTCAGATTAAAAGGTATAAAGAAACAAGTAATTAGTAGTAGTATTTTCGTATGATATAATTCTTAACTAAAGTGTTAAAGATGTGAACTGATAAATCAATAAATAGCTTAATCTTACAGATTTCTACCTCCAGTGTTAAGATTTCAACGAGTACAAAGCTAACACAAAAAATTACCCGCAGAAATATTGTGTGTGACCGGCCTCAAGCAGTTGTCGCTTGGGCACTGCGATCACGCTCTCAGGTCACTAAGGCCAATTATAATCCCATTTCCTTTTCAGGTACCTCTAGAACACTTCCATAGTTTGGGCAACCGGGAAGTGATAACTACCCTCATACCTCTAACAGCACTCAAGACCACTAAAACTGAAAAAACTCGCTTGGCTTCAAAGTTGAAGATTTAATCCATTTAGTCATGCAACTACCCACATGTAAACGTTTAAGAGATATTCAGGTGACTTGATTCTCCCTGTCACCAACAATAACAAGGTTGAAATCAGCGTTCAGTACATCCAATATTATAAATTTTATAACAGTAAGAAAGTCAGCGTCAATTAACCAGTATTTAGAAAAAAATTCCCCTTTAACAAACATGCAAACTGTAATTATTCAAAAACATTTTATTTTTAAATAGTCAGTGTCTGTCATTCATGTTTAATGGAGAAAGCTTTCTACCGGTTCAGCTAAGACAACTATCCATTTTCATGCATCACATATCAAATTTATGCATTCTAGTGTAATTGACTGGTAGTTTCCTCAGAAGAGGAACGAAGAGAAGAATATTCCAGTAAATATGGTGTCTACATTTAAGTCTTTTAGTGAGCATCGTGATAGGTTGTAGGCTTCTTTTTATAAAAGCGCGTAAGTATGCTTAGGATTTATAATTATTTGGATGAAATAAATCCAATTGAAATATTTGAATGCTTTAAGAAACTGGTCTAAACGATTAAAGAACCCCTTGAATACTCAGTATCAGGTGGTATTCGTCAACGTTTTTCAGTTACTTGAAGATGCAGACTTTATAGTCAAGATAAGTATTTCGTAATCTATGGTTAGACGCGTCAGGTGAAGATATAGCTTTAGGTTAATCACAGTAGTTCATATTTATTCTTTATCTTTTTCCAGATCTTAAGTTTAAATGTTAGTTTATAATTGAATTTTGTTCCCAAATTAACTCACTATTTTCAAATACATGAAATGCTCTATATGCGTTCTTATTTCACTTTCATGGATCTTATTATTATTATTTGGATTTTTATGATCTTTTGTCACCACTTTCTGATGTGACACCTTGTGCCGATACACATGTGTGCCATATCGTACGTCATTTATAACTGATCACTTGATAGATATACCGTTGAAATATATTTGTTTATATTTTTCTGTCACGGTTTCGAACAAAATGAGCAAATCAAGTAATTGCCTAAATACTAATAATTTTTTAGCTGGTTTATCAATTTATCTATCGGTTTACATCTATTAATAGTCTTACTGTTCTCGTATGATATATCAGTTCAAAGCATGAAACATACAATTTTAACTAACCAAGATTTTTATGTTTTAAAAATAAAAAGTAACTCTTAGTTTGCTAGTTGATTTCTCATTATCTGTGCCAAGTGTAATTTTATGGCTTACGCTACAATGAAACTTGATTGTAACATTAGTATTAGTTAAACAAAATATAAACTCAATTAATTGTCATGACGAATAGTGGGTTAATATTTGCTTAACCATAATCCAAACAAATATTTACCGATAAATATTATATATTGATATATACACTGATTTCCAAGAGAATTGGAGAGCAAAAGTGTTGAATAACAACTTTAATAAGTCGGCTTTGTTTTTTTTCATTAATTAAGGATCGAGTGAACTTCTATTCAAGGTATGACAATTTTCTTCTGCTTAATTATTCACATTTACAGTTCTACGTATTTTCATACATGTATTTGCAGGCAAAGTAATGCAGGTTAGCATATTTGTCATAACTAATATTTGATATTATTTCTATAACAAAGAAAACTTATTCACATCTACAGAAAGCATTTTACCTCAAGCTCTTTAATGTGTTGCTTTAAAGAATTTAAACGTCTGCTGTAGGTAGCACCTGCTCGAACTAAACATTCCATATCTCCGAATTTAGGATTTGTCCGACAGGATTCAATCATACGATCGGTACTTCGTCTTTACAAATAAAGAAAATAAAAATGAATGAATCCAAGCTTGTAATAGGGCCAAAAAATAACTATAGAGAAAAGTAAACATTTTATATTTAGATAAGTGCGGTAAATAACCTAGATTTTTAATTACACTTCGCCAAAGAACTGTTGATACTAGTCTTTGCTACGATGGAACGACTGATTGATAAATTAGTGAAATAACTGTTAGTTCATGATCACTTGATTGACGTGATAAAGTAAATAGGTGACTACGGAACTAAATCTTGAAAAAGAATGTCAGGAAATGATACGATTGATCAAATGAATAGGTGTATTGTGGGGAAAATTATAATGCCACTTATATGTGAAGCAGTCAATTAAGACGTTATAACTATGATTTACTTATCAAATAACAAAAAAGCAATATGAGTTGAAAACGATTACTATTACACAAAATCGTGCCAATGGTATGGAATGAGAGTTGAGTAGAAATTACAATGCTGTGATGCTTTATAAATCACAATTAATTAAGATTTTATTCACATTTGTGTCACTATGATCACATGAATTCTGATCTAGGTATTAAGGAACGCTATGCTCAAGTATAAATAATACTTATCACTATTGTTTTAATTCTATCATATTTCTAAATCCCTTATAGAACGCCATACACTTGAAGACAGTTTCTTATAATATAAATCATATTCAAATTGACAGTTTAACGTGTGCAATATGGTGAAACAATGAAAAAAAAACAGGATTGGTATTAGTGAAAATAGAATAGAGCCAACAATGGAATGATATATATTGATACAAGTATACGTCAATCCGTAAACTAATAGTTTGAAAGAAATGAGTGCCGATTATATAAAACACTTTATGAAAAATTATAATTGAAATAGTAGTAACGATTGAAAGTCAAATAATCCCAACGTTTCATTCAGCAATCTTGTCTACACTTCTTCAGGGTAATTATCAAGATCAAAATTGTCAAAGAATATATAATGTTTAACAATTAAATCTACACTAAAAGCTTATCCGATTACATTCAGATACTAAATTTAGTAAGTAAGAAAATATGAGTCAGTAAGGTGTAAATCATGAGAAAAGTTCATAAAGTGAAGTGAAATTAATGTGTGTTTTGTGTAACCTGATGTTGTTAATAGTCAATAATCGGTACAAATTTGTTTATATAAGGTAAAAGTGTAAATTTAAATTGCTTTTGAAACGTCAATGTGTGTATGAAATGAGAACCATCTAATCCATAGTTGAAATAATAAAGGGTCATAATTAATTTCTGTTAGGATGACGGTGTATATGAAATTAAAACAGGTACTGTATAAATAGGGTCCAATCACTTGTTAGTGATCATTTGACAAGAGGTTGAATATATATATATATATATATATATATATATATATATATATAATTTTGGCGGTAACCGAGAAATTTCAAACACTTTACACTTTGAAGGGTGAAAATATTAAGGCAACTGAAAGTAAAGGTAATTAGTGCTCCCAACATCTCAGACAATTGAATGGTTGACAAAATAATCCTTTATAAAGTGGTACTTTTTAACTTTTCTTTATTTTTTGAATGGCTTTACAGGTCATAAGGAATGGCTATCAAGTAAATGGAGTTATTACAATTATTTTAAAACATATTAGGATTCCTCGTTATACTTAAAGAGAAGGGATCATAACTGATTACTCAAAACCCACTTCATATGATATCATAATTCAAATTACAGTGTAGTTAGCGAGTTAATTAGTGATTTAAAAGGTTCCGTGACAGTTTCTCTGTATTTTCTCATTAAGATGATTTTATAGTAATAATCAAATAGAAATAACTACAAAAACATCTAGAGAAAAAAATAATGGATTCGCTTACTTCCGCTTGAAGTCACTAACTTCTAGTCTGAGCCATGTTGGTAGATGTAGACTACCTGGTTGAGGTCCACGTGACTATCGTAACCAATGGTTGGAGACTCTAGGTGACATGGCTCAGAATCGATCACAATGGCACAGGTGTATACACTCTTTATCTTCCCTTAAACCTTAAGATTAAAATTGCTTTATAACGTTTTTCCTTCCTATACTATATCCTTATATACAACCTATCTTTTGTATACTACCACCACTAAATTAACTATTTCTATGTATTCTGTGTTCATCTTGTTGTGCTAACGAGGTATGGCAACTTGGAACGATGCATAGGTGTGCCTGGTCCTACGTTGTAGCTGACTGGCTGACTTAGTTTCGCTTAGGTTAGACCCACCCTCTCAACCCCTTAATGCTGAAAGAAAACGACACGTTAGGCAAGGGGCTACAACATTGTTACGATTAGTCCCAAAGGTAACATAAAACCAAACACAATGAAGCTGTAAATGGACTGATTTATGTGTTCTTATTTCATTTAGTATAGTGAACAAATTTCATTGTCACCTTGAGGGAAAGACTGCTGATTAAATGTGTATTCCATTTATAATGAACAAGATGTCTAGTTAATGTTGCGAATGGAATAGTTCCAAACATAGATTTACGTGTTTTCATTGAGTAATAATTAACTAACTCCACATAATGAAACTTTCCAACTAAGCATAGTAATTTATGCCTATAACATCTCTGTCAACTCCGCCTGTAGCTCTTCTAGAGTTACTGCCGGTCCCAAGCCCGGGTAAAGGAGGAGGGTTGGGCATGGGGTTAGCGACCCCATCCCGTAGAAAAGCTAACTCGCTAAAAAAACGCTAACCAGAAAAAATAATCCAAACCATTTAAACTCTGCTCTGGGAGTTGAAGGAATAATGACGTCTCATGATGAAAGCCGAAATTCTTCGGAAGTCACGAGACCGATGCACCTTCTAACAACCAGAGCAACACTCTTTATAGGTACATGGAACGTCCGGACAATGTGGGAGACAGGAAAGACCAGCCAAATAGCAATGGAAATGCGGAGATACAACTTGGCAGTACTCGGAATCAGCGAAACCCATTGGACACAAACTGGACAACAAAGGCTAGGTACAGGAGAGATGCTGCTGTACTCCGGTCACGAAGGGGAAAATGCTTCACACACTCAGGGAGTTGCTCTAATGCTGTCCAGAGAAGCACGAAATGCACTTGTGGGATGGGAATCTCATGGACCCAGGATAATCAAAGCATCATTCAGAACAAAGAAGCAAGGGATCACAATGAACATTATCCAATGTTATGCACCCACCAATGATAGCAACGACGATGATAAAGATCAGTTCTATGAAAGGCTGCAATCAATTGTAGCAAAGTGCTCAAGTAAGGACCTCACCATCCTGATGGGAGATCTAAATGCTAAAGTTGGAGTGGACAACACAGGATATGAAGATATAATCGGACGACACGGACTAGGAGAAAGAAATGAAAATGGGGAGAGACTTGCAAACCTATGTGCTTTCAACAAATTGGTTATAGGCGGCACAATATTCCCACACAAGCGCATACCCAAAGCTACATGGATCTCACCGGACCATACCACAGAGAACCAGATAGATCACATCTGTATCAACAAAAAATTCCAAAGATCAATGGAAGATGTAAGAACCCGGAGAGGAGCTGACATAGCTTCAGATCACCACCTGGTTGTGGCCAAGATGAGACTGAAGCTAAAGAAAGACTGGACAACTGGACAAACAGCACTACAAAGGTTTAATACAGCCTTCCTTCGAGATACTGACAAACTCCATGAATTCAAGATAACTCTCAACAACAGGTTCCAAGCTCTACAGGATCTACTGAAAGAACAAGAAACTACTTTGGAGGACAACTGGAAAGGCATAAAAGAAGCACTAACTTCAACGTGTCAGGAGGTTCTTGGTCCTAAGAAGCACCATCACAAGGAATGGATCTCTATGGGGACCCTGGACAAAATTCAAGAAAGGAAGAACAAGAGACTAGCAATTAACAACAGCCGAACACGAGCAGAGAAAGTCAAAGCACAAGCAGACTACGCAGAAGCAAACAGAGAAGTGAAGAAAAGCATTAAAGCCGACAAGCAGGAATACATGGGAGAACTAGCAACGGCGGCGGAAAAAGCTGCAAGAGAATGGAATATGAAACAACTATATGATACGAGGAAATTGGCAGGGAGATATAGCAAACTAGAGAGACCAGTCAAGGACAAAAAAGGAAAGACAATCACTGAGATTCAGGAACAGAGGAAAAGATGGGCAGAATACTTTGAGGAACTGCTGAATAGACCAGCCCCATCGAATCCACCGAACATCGAAGCAGCCCACACTGACCTTCCAATAGATGTCACTCCACCAACGATCGAAGAAGTCAAGATGGTCACCAGACAAATCAAAAGTGGGAAGGCGGCAGGACCTGACAATATACCAGCAGAAGCACTGAAGTCAGACATTGAAATAACTGCAAACATGCTTCACCTTCTACTCAAAAAGATTTGGGAAGAGGAACAAGTGCTGACGGACTGGAAAGAAGGATATCTCATCAAGATACCAAAGAAAGGAGATCTGAGCCAATGTGAGAACTACAGAGGCATCAGTTTGTTATCAGTACCAGGAAAAGTTTTCAACAGAGTGCTGCTGAATCGGATGAAAGACGCAGTAGACGCCCAACTTTGAGATCAACAGGCTGGATCCCTTAGGGGTCGGTCGTGCACAGACTAGATTGCTACACTACGGATCCTCGTAGAACAATCAGTTGAGTGGAACTCATCACTATACGTCAACTTCATCGACTATGAGAAGGCGTTTGACAGCGTGGATAGGAGAACATTGTGGAAACTTCTTCGACACTATGGAGTTCCTCAGAAGATCGTCAACATTATCCAAAACTCATACGATGGATTACAGTGCAAAGTGGTTCATGGAGGACAGCTGACAGATGCATTTCCAGTAAGGACCGGAGTCAGACAAGGCTGTCTACTCTCCCCATTTCTCTTCCTTCTAGTGATTGACTGGATTATGACGAATTCGACATCTGAAGGGAAATACGGAATACAATGGACAGCTCAGAATCAATTAGATGATTTGGACTTCGCAGATGACCTAGCCCTCCTCTCTCATACACACGACCAAATGCAGATGAAGACAGCAAATGTAGCAGCAGCCTCCGCATCGATAGGCCTCCACATTCACAAAGGAAAAAGCAAGATTCTCAAATGCAACACGGAGAACAACAACCAAACCAATAACACTTGATGGCGAAACTCTGGAAGAGGTGGAAACATTCAAGTACCTGGGGAGCATCGTTGATAAACAAGGAGGATCGGATGCAGATGTAAAGGCAAGGATTGGCAAAGCAAGGGCAGCATTTCTACAATTGCAGAACATATGGGACTCAAAACAACTCTCAACCAATTTCAAGGTGAGAATCTTTAATACGAACGTCAAGACAGTCCTACTGTATGGAGCTGAAACGTGGAGAACTACTACGGCCATCATCAGGAAGGTACAAGTATTTATAAACAGTTGTCTACGCAAAATACTCAACATCCATTGGCCGGATACTATCAGCAACAGCGTTTTATGGGAGAGGACAAACCAGCTTCCAGCTGAAGAGGAAATAAGGAAAAGACGTTGGAAGTGGATCGGACATACATTAAGGAAATCACCAATGTGCATCACGACTCAATCCCTAACTTGGAATCCGGAAGGGAAGCGGAAAAGAGGAAGGCCAAAGAACACACTACGCCGGGAAATAGAAGCCGATATGAAAAGGATGAATAGCAACTGGAAAGAACTGGAAAGGAAGGCTCAGGACAGAGTTGGATGGAGAATGCTGGTGAGCGGCCTATGCTCCTCGACGAGGGGTAACAGGCGGAAGTAGTAAGTAGTAACATCTCTGTCACACTAAATCGGCCTAGCAGAGTATAAACCAGTCTTCAGAGATTGATTTGGAATCGAAAGACAGAGAATACACAGAAAACAGTTAAAAAACCATCACTGTGAATTCCCTTAACGGAATTATGTCCGCTAACGAGTACGCCAAGAATAATTTAATTTAAAAACGTCAAAATAGCAAAGATTCGTCTCTAGGTCATCAATGGTGAAGTCAAGTGAAAGTGGACAGCAGGTTCTTGCAAGCTTCCACATGACCACATAACCTACAAGAAAAGAATATCAATCCTCGATACTCCTATGATTATAAATTACTGAGATTCCTAAATGTTATAATCACGTAAAGTATTATGGTAGATTTGGAGCTCATAAGTGGTCGCCTTTGAACATCTAGAATAAAGTGACCAAATTAGTGATAGATTTTAAACGTCCCAAACTCTCTTGGGTCATACTTTTCAACTTTTCAATATTACCCAGACACGTATTCGTATTAGTACTTTTTAAAAAAATACTATTATAAATAACGGATTGATCTTCGACAACCTCTGTAAAGCACAAGGAACTGGACAACTACTTTATCGAACTCAGAATCTTTAGGTTTTGTTGCGAGTACCTAACCTTTAGATTATTGGGCCAGCATCCGATAGTTTACACATATAATTTAGAAACTTGAGAAATTATTAAGTAAAACAAACATCTTCGAAATGGAAAAAAAATTAGTTAGGGTCTATAGATTGACAATTTGATGAAAAAAATATTTTGTACATTATTTGAGCATTATTTAAGTAAATCACCATATGTGAAGTATCAAATTTAACAACGACTGGATACAATCCACCGAAATTGTTTGAGAACTGAAATATTAAATTTGACTATTTGAATTACGCTTTAAGCATGTCAGTATTACTTATTAAAAGAAATTTTACAATAAAAGACTTACAGTTCATTATCAGTCTTCATAACCAGTTCCCTTAGTACTTTTATCCGGTCAGCAACTTGTCTGATAGTTAAATCTGTATTCTTAAAATACAAGCAAAATTACTGGATAAAGATAGTCAGCTTACTAAAACTATTTAAGAGATAGAATAGGAAAACATACAACACTCTTTTCACATGTTTTTATTTAAACTATATAAGTATGTAAATAAGAAACTAAAACCACTTCATTGTTTTATTATGGAAAGACACACAAATTAAAAAACATACTTCAAAATTTAACAATGACTTTTCGTACAGCTCACGATTTATAAATTACATATTTTGTTATGCATCAATTTCTAATTGCTTTATGTCAGTGATTTAATGAGCACTACATTCAAACATCTACTAACATTTCAGACAAAACAATTGTTTGCTGAAAATCTGTTACCTATATTTTTTCGTATCATTTTTGATATAAAATCATTCAAATGAAGGAAATAGCTCATCACTAAATCTAAAGTACTTGAATCTCGCGTGCGGGATCGTGGATGCGTGCTGCTGAGGAGTCCCATACTAGGATGAAACAGACGTCCAGTGCCCCCAGGTTTTCAGTGGTGGTCTAGCTTAGACCGACTCATGAATTCAAATGTGAAAATACTACAATCTTCATAAATCCCCATGGCGAGAGATGAGAGTAAAGGGTTCAAATTACTGAGCCATTGTTCAATAATTACATTTAAGAAAGCTACAATTCCGCACAAAGCTGGCATCAACCATGAACAGACCAGTGCCCACAGTTAATAGCATACCAGTGAGATTCGGTTACTTTGGCACGCCTGGTTTGTATGATTTTCGCCAATTTATGATTCACGTAATACATAAGGGGTAGGAAAAGTGGTAACCATATAAACATGTTACCATTCACTAGGACAAGAAAATACTAAGAAAATTGAAATATTGGGATATCAGAAGTTTTTCACTAAATGAGCACAAAGCACCAAGAACCATATTTTATCTTCAAAAATTTTTCACCCATGCAAATGAGAAAGAAAAAAATATTACTGTTTAAATGAAAATACGTAGAGAAAAAATGTTACGTAAGCCGAATAAGAGTTTCAAGGTGAATATGCGTCGAAGTTTGACCAGTCTAGTTTAACAGTAGCAGTTAATTTGAGTTGCATAGCTAGGTGTGATGAGGTAATTCCTTCGTTTTGATACACATCAATGATCAAAGACTCAATGTGACCAAACACCAATCAGGATGTTACAGATTCATTTGCTTTTACTATCTTGAATCATCGGTACACTGACTTTTCATTTACATGTTCATTACTAGCTGCGCCACTTCAACTATTTAAACACATTCGCATATCTTTAGAAAGTATTAAACAATGAACTTCAGGATTAGATTTCATTCCATTGTATTTGTCTGTGGGTCTACTATGATGACAAACAAAATATCACTGAGGAAACTAATAATCATATATACGTATGTATGTGTATATATTATGATTATAATTAAACTTCAAATTGTAACTGTGTAAAAATTAAATCATAATTCGACTGCTGATTGAGGGCTACTTACACCAATTAACATAATCGTCCGTCACATGTCCAATTACTCCACAAGTTTTGAGTCAAAACCACTAATGGTGTGGTACAATTGTCTGGTTCAAACTATCATGACCACATAGATAGATTAATTGTAACCCCTCAAACTTTAAACAAGTATTCAGAAAATACCAAGGTGAAAAGCACAACAATTGAAAGAAATTCGACCACATAAATATACTCATTACTCACGACTCGTAACAGAGTTAAAATATGATTTTCAACGTAGTTACCACTATACAGTGGTAAGTATTGGTTTAAAAATTTTGAAGACGATGAAAAAACTGATTAACGACAGTTTAGTTAGTACCTGCTGAAGTCAGTCAGTCAGTCGTATGCAGCATAGAACTTGACGAATGTGTATCGGTTCAAGTTGTCGCCCCCCCCCATTAACACGGTGAAATGAAACTTACCTTGTTTATTTATTTATTTAAAAACATGAATATTGGTACAAGGAGACACTAAATCTATATGTGTCGCAAAAATCATTCGATTTGTGCGAGGGCTAGGATACCGCCTGGGTCTCCAAACCGAAGCAGGGAAATGGAATTGCCAAGGCAAATGCCAGAGTGGTAGATGCAGTAACAATATTAGGAAGAATAGAAGGGGCTAGACATTGAAGATACGATTCGAGGAGAAAATACAGATTTGTGGAATAAAAAAAAGGAGAAAATTTTTTATGAGGTGATTTGGAAACTTAGGATCCAAAAAGAAAACAATGAATGAGTGGACTTGTGTCATTGTGAACGATTCTGAATTATGTCGCCCAAAGTCTCTAATCACTGACAGCAGTTATCACGCAAATCCTAACCCGGCAAGTCTGCATTTGTGGAAGAATATACATTTATAAAAATACATTTCTAGACTTACTTTTATACTTTTTATACTAATGCCGCAAATAAACGGTGAGCGTAAACTAAGATATTCATCTTTTGAATTCTTATGAGTGGACCGAATGAGTCCACTCATCATACCGCTTCCTGAAATAGCACTTCCTGAGTTATTTAACTGATTTGTGCATTCTGCCGACTCAACACCAAGTATTAGAGCTCCCAGTTCCGAGACAGAACCATCCAAAATACCTGGAGGACATTTATCCAAATCAAGGAATGGTAAATCAGCTGGAGGTTGTTCATCTGTATGCAACCTCTTTATTACCTTAGCTGAGTCCTGTAAAAAGATGTCGTGTCAACAGTACAAAAGTCAGCATAATACACACATTGAATAGATAATATATATATATATATATATATATTGTCTACTGTAAACACAGTTCACACAACCAGATATGGGAACCAATCGACTAACCAACATTTGCACGTTAAATAAAAGTAGGCAGTATAACAAATGTTACTTTGCTAATTATGTGATTCAGTAGTGATAAATTACCCGAAAAATATCCTAATGTCTGACAAAAAACAGATTTTTTAGTTTTAGAAGATTAATTTACATTGCAAACATTCAGATTTAAGCTACCATTGTCTGATATATACAAGATAAAAACTTTACGATACATTATTATATATTTCATAACATCAGACCATGTATTTCGATAAAAATTAAGCACAACCTAAATAATTTTTCTAATTCCCCACTGATATAAACATTGTCGTGACTTTTTAAAAAATTTTTTCTAATGAATCAATCTAACATAGGTTACTAGAAACAGCGATTGCCTATGTAAATGGATTCTAAATTTTTTTAATATACACAAAAGAATGTGTAGGAATACTTTGCACTAACGTTGGCGAAATTCGTAATATTTTTACAAATTCCCAAACCATAAAATAAATTTCTCTACATATCTACTGAAGATCTTATAAATGGATGTATAGTTTCAAATTCAGATGGTATATTCATTAGATTGTATTAAATAAACCTCGTGAAATTTACAATAAAAAAACATGAGTATGTTATAACAGCGTGGAAAATTCAAAAGACCAGAAATTTGCTGGAATTTATAAAAATGTGGCACACTCCCCAAAGGAAACAATTTTTTTCAGAAAAACTCACGTAAGAGGAATCAAGAGCAGAAACCGCCTCAGAAATTAACTTGTTGCAGCTAGCAAGTTTGGAGATTGTTTCCTCATTGATACGGGTGACCATCAGTAAAAGTTCACGAGTACGATTATTTCGCATACGACTTGAACTTTCCATATCATCTACAAAAGTCACTATATCGGTGCTGTAGTGACGTCGACTGGCTATATTGTATTTAGCTAATTCATCGACATAATTCCTACTAGCTTGATCAAAAGACTGAACTTTACTTTGATAAAGAGCTTCAAACTAGACAAAAGTAGTAAAACAACCAAGACGTATATTGTGAGCTTAAGAATAACTGTTTGGTATTAGTATAAAACACTAAGTTGTACAAAAAATGAGATATCCATACTGTTTATATAATCCATCTAATTGTACATACTATCCTAGATTAACACTTCTATGTTACCTTGTTTTCAGAAAAATAGGGTTGAGTCAAACAACAAAATCGCACTTTACGTGGCGTAAAATTATAATTTACCGATTACCTATTATAATTACGGCATTTCAAAAATACATTTTAAACGATGTTACAATGTTAATGAAGCAATAACAAATAAAGTAGTCCATTTAGCAAGAATAGGTTGCTGTTCTTAGCTTTAAGCCACACGCTTATGTGAAGGCTAACGATACTATCCGGTTATCCTAGTCAAAGAAGTTGGAGAAGATTTTGGACCTGTGATCCAATGGTTGAAAGTCAGTTACTGTAACCACTAACCCACTACTAACGAAATACGTAAAACGTAGATTTAAAGCTTTAACATCCCATTCCGAACAGAAGCATGTGAAAAGTCCTACGAAAACTATACAGATGAACTGATTGCCGGTTACTAACAATTAACTGAAGTAAAGAATTTGCATTTGGATAGCTTATGCACCACCAACCGGTGGGTATTCTGAATTTCATGATAGGAAGTGAAGAAATTAAGTCTTTTGACCACGTCACAAATGAAAGATTTACTTACTTGAATGATCTAAGTGAGGATAAATTACTCGGCATTTGTCATAGTATTAAACTTGTAACATCGATAAGATATTTGAGCTTAGTAATCATTCCAATTTTAAAAATATGCACGCATACATCACCATAAACTACAACCAACTTTATAGGAAAAATAAAATATGATATCATACTGACAAAAACAAGATTCCAGAGTGTGGTTCGAATTTACCATAGATGTAATGATAAATAATAAACCTACCTTCTGTTGATCGACTCGCGCTAGTTGTATATCGTTTTGAGCCCTTTCCGAGACCTCATATGCTTTCTGTTTTTCTTTGAAATTGGTTACATACTTTTGCCAGCTTAATTCCAATTGTTTACGCGACTGTTCTATGGTCGCGTTTAGCTTTGACCAATGAGAACGCTGTTTTTCCAAGGATCTCTTCTCATTTTCAACTTGAGTTTTCAATGGATTGACAACAGATTCATTAAGTTTTTTGGAACTAGCCTCATGTGTTACGCCGATTTCAAGAATCTGTGGAACGATACTTGAATATGTCAGAACGGAAGATAATTCGTCAACATCGGGTTTTTTCCTTGGTAAATATACAGAAACCGTTTTCCTATAGAAATCGAAATTGAATGGTAACAAAATATTACTTTACCTTAGTTTCTTTCCAAATTCATGCTGTAACTTTTGAACATCGGAGAAAAGTTTGAAGTACGACTCAGTTAGCCCGACCTGATCAATTTCATGTTTAAAAAGGTTCTCTACTTGATCCTAGGTTAAGAAAGAAAGCAAGTTCAAGAGCGTAGAAACTAACTTTACGCATAAAATGATAAGTTCAACAAGCAAATATTTTTAAATTTGTATTTTAAACATATTTTGTGTGACTATATCTCACTAAATAACATTTCATTGCCACTCCCTGTAAAAACTCTTAAAGATTTATCATTATTATTATGTACTGACAATGTGTGGTGCATATATATTTGGTGCCTTCTTGTACCGATGTTTTTGTTTAAACAAATATACTAAAGATGTGAAATTCACTTTCAATGGTGAGCATTTTCAACAGATTGGTGGCTAAGCTCTGGGCAATCCTTTAGGTCCATTGCTGGCTAATAGATGGATAATTTAGTTGAGGACTAAATTCGAAAGATGTGTCTGTATAAACGGTACGTGGACGACATCATAGTCATAGGTGATAAATGTGAGCCGCTTGTTAAAAGAACTCAATACAAGTCAAAAGCATATTTCTCTAAAGTGCGGAGATGAATAACCAACTCCCTTTTTTACACATACTGATTCGTTTGATCAAACGTTCAGAAACTCAACATGGATACAACAATCTCTTAACTTTCGTAGTTATTGTCCAACCCATTACAAACGTGGATTAATAAAGGACTTATTAAATGGAATCAATCATGTTTGTACTAATGATACTATTGGAGGAGAAACGAAGCTCTTAACGGAAACAATGAATAATGGTTATTCATTGAGGTTTTATAAACTGTTGATAGCAATACAATGAGACCTATGACGTTTTTGGCACCCCAAAAAACGAGTCTATCACCTTAGCATTTAGAGCTGACTCAAATAGTCTCATGTTGAAACTTGAATTAGTCATCAATGGGACATGTTATGCAGCCCAACTCGTCATTATCGAAAAATCAAGGTACACGTTTCACTGAAAACCCAAACAACATGTAAGCGATGTTATCATATCCCATTGCATCTATCAATTTATATGTATGTGCAGAAACACGTAAATGGGGAGGAGCGATCGTGAGCTGCAAGTTAGGGTGGCTGAACATATACCTAAGTGGTCAAATGAGATCGCAGGAGAGACAAACATCTTCCTCCCATGAGAAACATTTGAATGAGTGTTATGCTTGTGACCGAGTGGATGTCTAGTTGATGTGTGGCTCGATAGAACCGCCAAACAGCGAGCAGCGGATTATCGGTTGGAACAGAGACACGAAACCCGTACGAGCAGACTAGAGTGCTAACCGGTCCTGCGATCTGCTTAGCCCAGCCAATTAAGTCCAAAACACCAATAACAGCCTCAGTGGTATGAATCATTATTTACAAACACACTGGGTTTTTATACAAACCAAAGTAATCAACAAACTGAGTATAACTCAAGAATCGTATGATAATAAATCAAAGATCAAAATAAAGCTCATGATAAGAGAAACACGAATATGAATAGTTAGTTACGTAACAATTGTACAATAGGAAATAGGCATAATACATTGGTCGATAAATAGACCTATAAGTTAACATTCGTAATTCACCGGGGGATATAACAATGAGACCGGTCATAAGGTTGATATCAATTCAGCCTTTGTAGTTTCGCACAAATGGTTACAGGGGTGTACACTAAATTTTACTGAATTCTTGGCTATACGAGAGCTGAAACCTCTTTTATATGTGGATTGTTAGTGGAGATTTTTAGTAATTTACATATATACTTGAAATCATGAGTCAATTGAAGCTAGACCACCATGGAAAACCTGGAAGCACTGGACGGCCGTTTCGTCGTATTGTGGGACGCGCACTGCTGAGGAGTCCCACAATAGGACGAAATGGCCGTCCAGTGCTTTCAGGTTTTCCATGGTGGTCTAGTTTCAATTGACTCATGACCTCTTTCATATGTTTAAAAACCATTTGTTCTTACCTACTCTAGTAATACTGACACACTATCTAGTGGTTTTCACATTGTATTTGTGTACTATATTATTATGTTTGTTTCCCCTTACATTTTAATTTATCTAGTTCACCTTTTATTTCCCATATATATTGTCTTAACAAGTATATGTGTGATCAGATTGTTCGAAATATATTGCGCAAATATATCACAAGATTCTGATAACCTTTGTCTTCTCGCTACAGTATCTAGAAAAATTCTAAACTCAATCGTTTTTTTAACTGTTCAGTTGTCTCAATATTTGATTACATTGCTACAATTAGGACATATATATAATTTGTGTGGAATGATCCATTTTGTCGTTTCGCTAGCCATAGTTGGTTTGGTGCAAGGGATCGCAATGTTTGACGACGTCTCTCCTTAAGCTTAAAATAAGCGCTTGCTAAAAATAAACGATTGTCTGAACACAGTTGCAGTAAACGGTCATCATTATTTGTTCGCTGAGCTGGAATACTAAAATACCCACCTAAATATCTTTCTGTTTGGTTTAAGCTACCTATCTGGACATTAAAGTCACATGCTACGAGTACTATGTCCGAGGGTTTAGCTTTCTAAACTTCTTCAGAAAGCTTTCTGTAAAAGTCACATTTCACTTCATCTGTGCTGCGGTCAGAGGAAGCGTAGACAGAAACAACGAAAAGGCGACGGTGTAGGTAGGAGGAATAATAGGAATTGAAGAAGGAAACTGATTATGAACACAGTGATCTTGACTGTTTTTAGAGGTATGAGGGCGGTTATCAATTCCCAACTGCCTAAACCGTGGAAGGGTTCTTCTAGAAGCACCTGAAAAAGAAATTGGGTTAGAGGCGGTCTTACTGATTTGAGAGCGTGACCGCAGTGCCCAAGGAACAGCTGCGTGAGGCCAGTCACATGGAACATTTTTCTGTTACCTCTGTACTTGTTGGGAACTTGCCACCGCAGACGGAAATCCGTGGGATAAGGTGAGCTATGGATTTTGAGGGTCGACCTTTTCTAGCCTCACCCTTCCTTTGTGGGAAAGCAGCATCGCTATTATGCTGGTTGTCAGAAGGAGAGTACAAACGTCCTGTTGTGACAATCACAGGGGAATCAGTTTGACTAATATAGAGTCTAAAATGTTAGCTTCAACGCTACTTTTACGCCTAACTGAATCTCGTGAAGTGCAGACTAGAGAAAACCAGGTTGGTTTCCGACCTGGATGTGATTGTATAAACCAGATATTCACTCTACTTCAGGTCCTAGAACATAGACACACATTCAGACGACCCACAATAGTAGTAGTTCTCGACCTTAAGACGGCATTCACTCCATTGGTCGTGAGGTTCTATGGCAGTGTTTGTCAGTGAAAGAAGTACCAAAGAAGTACATTAACCTTATAAAGGCTCTCTACTCGAACACAACTGGTCGAGTTAGAACTTATGGCAAACTGTCATCAGAATTGATTACCTTAAGTGGTGTTCGTCAGGGCTGTCCACTGTCTCCATTCTTGTTTACCTTTATCGTAGACGTGCTTTTAGAATTAACACTTTCATCATCCAAATTTAGAGGGGTCGAACTTCTACCAGGAGACTCACTTGTTGACTTAGAATACGCCGACGACATAGTTTTATTTGGTGAAGACGATGACAACATGCAGAGTCTTCTGACCACTATAAGCAACTATGCAGGCATGTTCGGGATGCGATTCTCTCCCTCGAAGTGCAAAATGTTACTTCAGGACTGGGTTGCATCGACACCTGAACTAATGATAGGGAGTGAAGTAGTTGAGCGTGTTGACCGCTTCACTTATCTTGGGAGTCTTATCAACCCTTCTGGTCTGGTGTGACGAAATCTCAGCACGGATACAGAAGGCTCGTCTAGCTTTCGCCAACTAGAGTCATGTATGGTGTAGGCGAAATATCCGTCAAACAACTGAAGGACGAGTCTACTGCACAGCAGTTCGTTCCGTCCTACTTTATGGCAGTGAAACATAGCCGATAAGAGTAGAGGATATTCATAGACTACTAGTTTTAGATCATAGGTGTCTTCGAAGCATTGCACGTATATCTTTGGTCCACCGAGTAAATAATGCAGTTGTTAGTAAATGGGTTCTACGTAAAGATGGCGAATCGGTTGATGAACTAGTGAAACTTCATCAATTGAGATGGCTGGTACACGTGTTCGTATGCCCAACCACCGACTGCCCCGACATGCAATGTTTCATGGTGTAGTAGTAGGTTGGAAGAAAACTAGAGGTGGGCAGACCAAAACGTGGCACAAATCCATGAGGTCGCTGACAAGTGGACTGAACCATGTTGGTAAGTGTAGACTACCTGGTTGGGATCCGCGAGATGATAACAACCGATGGTTAGAGACCTTGATTGACATGACTCAAAATCATTTGCCGAGGCGCAAATGTATCCACTCTTTGTGTTATCCCGAATTCTAATATTCTGAATCTTACATGTCCCTTTCTTTTTTCTCTTTCCAAATTTATTTCACTGGATTATACTCCTTGAATAACATCTTCAAACCCTAATCTTAAGGATTACTGGCTTTTGCCAACTTACATCACCTATGGCGAAGACGAGATATCCGTTTATCAATTAAGAGACGAGTATACTGCGCAGCAGTTCGCTATGTTCTACTTTACGGCTGCGAAACATGGTCACTAAGAGTAGAAAATACTCGTAAGCTACTAGTATTTGACCACAGATCCCTTAGAAATATTTCTCTCACCTGCTGGGATCACCGGGTAAGTAATAGTGAGGTTAGGGTATTAGGGAATGATGGTAAATCAGTTGATGAGGTCGTGAATCTTCATCGACTGTGATGTTTGGGCCATGTGTTACGTATGGCTGAACACCGATTACCACGACGCACATTTATCTATTTATTTATACACATAAATATCGGTACAACGGGGTACCAGACACATATGCGCCGCACAAATCTCATTTGATTTGTGTGAGGGCTGTGATACTGCTCAGGTACCCAAACTAAAGCAAGTGGTTTTCTTATGGGGGCCACACCCGGAGCCTTCGACCTAAAGGTCTGATCCACAAGGCAGTGGAGCATCGTAAGGAGATGCAGTCCCATGGTAGCCGATGATCAACAATAGGTTCATACGCCATTTGTTCCGTCAGGATCCTGGAGCCCATGTGCACCAATAGTTTGGAATCAGGGTTTTTCAACTCCCTAGGTGGACTTCCCGTGTCCACCAAGCCGGTTAAAGCGCCGGACATTCGCTTTTCCTCCTCTCAATTTCGTGAAAAACACCCCCGCCACAAGACGGTCAGTAGGACTTCCCTGACAGGCTATATACGCACAATGCTGACTAGTATAGGGGATGGTTGGAAGAGAGTTAGGGGCGGCCTGTAGCAAGCCCATTCAACTACTGTATTTTTTGTGTGCTCTCTGTACTCTTAACATTTAATCCACTTGTAAATTTATGTGTGAGTCTGATTGAGCGCATATGTCTGCACATCAATCTTTAATCTATTCTCTCATTGGTTGTAAACAAAGACAATCAATAATTTATCCACAATCCATTAACACTCAAAAATATATATGGATTTTTAACACTCACACACGCACACACTCACTTGCTTTCCCTGTGTGCTTGCTATCTGTACGCTTGCGGATTTTACAGAGCTTCATCAATAAACTATCTCTATAACTGGTGTTCAGGCTTTTGAATAATCTCGAGTAAACCCGTAATTCTACTTGGAGATTTAGCCTGCAGTAAATATTCAGTTAGTGAGATATTATTTATATATTGGAGTCAGATATAGAGGAATTAATCCTCTACAGGCCAAACCAAAACGTGGCATCAGTCATTGAAGTCACTAACTTTTAGTCTGAGCCATGTTGGTAGATGCAGACTACCTGGTTGGGGTCCGCGTGACTATCGTAACCGATGGTTGGAGACTCTGTGTGACATGGCTGAAAATCGATCACAATGGCACAGGTGTATACATTTTTTATCTTCCCTTAAACCTTGAGATTAAAATTGCTTCGTATCTGTCTTTCTTCCTGTATTGTATCCTTATATACAACCTTTCTTCTATATATTACCACCACTAAATTAACTACTATGAATTCGATGTTTATCTTGTTGTGCTAATGAGGTACAGCAATTTGGACCGACGCATATGTGTGCCTGGTCCTACGTTGTGGCTAGAGTAGAATAGAACATACTCTTACTACTTCTATCACTATGGGATTTGAATCGATAACTGTATCTCTGTGCTTATGTGGTATGGCAATTCGAACTGATGTACGTACGTACGAAGTTCTAGTTTGTGACTGACTGACAGAAGCAAACACGTTACTGCCATCACACCACTGTATAATCAGCAGTACGAAGTAGGAATCGCAGTAGGGAAAATGTCTCCAAATGCCTTGGTACGGCCGAGAGTGAGGAGGGTTCGCTCTCCCTCTCCAAATGCTCTCACATGGCCACGCGTATACAACCACTGTCAAGGAAGTTCTACTCACTTCCCTCTCGTAGCAGAGTGATTTTTATGGAATTGAGAGGACGAAAAGCGAATGTCTTGCGCTTTAACCGGGCTGGACACAGAGGGTTCAGCCAGGGGGGTAGGAAAACCCTGACTCCGGACCAATAGTGCACAATGGCTTCAGGATCCTGAGGGAACAAATGACGTATGAACCAATCGTTGGTCACTGGATACCATGAGGCCGCATCTCCTCACATTGCTCCACCGCCTTGCGGATTAAACATTTAGGTCGAAGGCTCCTGGTGTGCCCCCTCCCCAAGTAAACCACCTGCTTCAGTTTGGGCACCCTGGCGGTATCACATCCCTTATGCAAATAAATGATAACTGCTACAGGCCTCATTGTTATTTCGTGGCGCATATGTATTCGGTGGCCTCCTGTACCAATGTTTGTGTTCAAATAAATAAGTCAAACGTTACTATATTTATAACATTTACGCAATATTCTAGTCTTCTCCGCGTATTCGCCAGTGCAGATTGGTTAAGAAATATCTAATCAGCAAGGCGCAGCACAACTTCACATGGAACATTCTTCAATCCAATCTACAACTAGATAACACAATCACTAGTTGATGGTCTTCATATACGCTCTTTAGGAGTAGTAGACATGTTGGTTTGACATGTTGGTTGACCATTTACTTTCGAAAGTGCCCCCAAATGCCCTGGTACGGCCGAGAGTGGGGAGAGTCACCTCTCCCTCTCGAAATGCTCTCATATGGCCAGCGAATATATAGCCTCTGCCAGGGAAGTTCTACTCACTGCCTTCCCGTGGCGGGGGTGTTGTTTACGAAAGTGAGAGGACGAAAAGCGAATGTCCGGCGCTTTAACCGGGTTGGTGGACACGGAGGGTCCACCTAGGGGAGTTGGAAAACCCTGATTCCAAACCAGTGGTGCACATGGGCTCCAGTATCCTGAAGGAACAAATGGCGTACGAATCAACCGTTGATCACCGGCTACCATGGGACTGCATCTCCTTACGATGCTCCACTGCCTTGTGGATCAGACATTCAGGTCAAAAGCTCCGGGTGTGGCCCCCTAAGAAAACCACCTGCTTCAGTCTGGGCACCTGGGCAGTATCACAGCCCTCACACAAATCGAATGAGATTTGTGAGGCGCATATTTATCTGGTGCTTCCTTGTACCAATATTTATGTGTTTAAATAAAATAAACTTTCAAAAGTGCTTGAGAATGGTGGGACCATCAACAAAATATTAGCTTGGGTAAGTTTCAGTCCGTCACCATTAGTGTAAAAGTTGTCGTAGATGTGCATTGATAGAATTTGTGAAGCTACATAGACCAAAGTTAACCGAAACCCTTAATACCTATTCCTAGCCTCTGCATATCCTGACGAACTATGTTGACTTATAAAAGAGCATAATGGAAAAACCAAAGACCGTCAGATTGAAACATGGGATTAACTAATGCAACCGACTTATTTTCAGTCATATCAAGAGATGCAAGTCGGTGAGGTTAGTGTGGTAAGTGGTTTCCCATATTACGATGTGGGTTAAAATACGTTACAGTGGTAGCAAAGCGTTTTCTTAGTTTTTAGATCTCGGAAATATTTGTCACATACTTTTTAAACACGATTTAGTGACTTCGAGATAACTGCTTGGTAGTTTTCCATTACTTGTTAAACCATTGATTTTCTATGTTTGGATATTTTTTCAATTGATTTCTTTTTGAGGTGATTTGTAATATAACAGTTTGAGCCTATACGCATGTGTCAGAGCCTACTTATTTGCGTGTAGTACATACATACACTTGTTTTTTGTTAAGGCTAGTTTTAGATACACTTTTTGAATAGTTTAAACATAAAGTCAAGCCGCTAGTAAATGCAGGAAAGTGAGCTGATTCAAGACAGTGAAGAATAAGGACAATAGAGTAGCTAAACAATTTCCCAAGTCAACACATGTGTGGACAGGAAGAAACCATGGGTTGACACAAAGGAACAAAGTTTTAAATTTATTTTGACAAATGGAAAATATAATTCACATTCAAACATTACATAAATAATAAATTCCTTGAAAAGAGATCCCTTCGCTGAACTTCGTGTTTTTAATTTTAATGTTTAAATGGAAAATAACAAACCTCATTCCAACCTAAGGCATATCTAGAGTAACTGGAGTTACCTTAAGAAAGACAGGAAGCCAATCCTTCGAGTGTCTTTACTGCCTTGTAACGGCCAGATGGCGTCAAAATCTTCAAAAAGTACGCAGTCCTAGTCTTACGCATAGTACACAAACTTCCGTTGATCATCTTATTGAAGCTAGATAACAGTAGGAACAGTAAGAATGACGTGTACAAAAAACAGCCTAGGTTCACTTCAATAAATAAAAGACTAGACTATTTTACGGCTCGCTGAAAGCCTACATGGATAGGATTTGTAACAAATCAAAACTGGGGGCTTTATTACTAAACATCGCCGTTATGAATCAGTGAAAGTGGCTATTTAAACACAAACTTGAAAGGGTTACTAAAATAGAGCTAAATCAAGGTATTGATTATCTTGCGGTAAAGGCATTTAGTATGCAGAGTCCTTACTAAATACCTTTGTTAATCCTAAATTTTGGACTATCAAGCTTATAAACTTGATTAAGCTTAATTAAGCTTCATAACAACATTGGAGTTAAATCTGAGTTCCCACCTCTGCCTATATGATTGTCACTAACTTATTTAGCAATATCGTATGCTGGTGGCGACCTTCCTATAGGCAAGAGTATTACCTAAAACATTCCAGAAAATAATTGCCTAACCGATATATAACGCGAGTACAAGTACGCAATAATCACGAATCATAAACATGACAGAATGCATGGGAGTGATTATAAGATTCGGAGGAAACCAATTAAACTGGTAAAAACTCTACGTACCCAAAGTTCGACGCCCCAACTGAGCTCATCCATCTCTGTAACGAACGGATTAAAAACACGCGCTTAAGGTAAAATTTAGAAACTGTAATGATATGTCTATGGACCTTAAACTTTGGTACAATCATGGCTTCGGAATAATGGGACATGGTTCTTCGTGATGGAAATTTACAAAATATTCTATCGATTATTCAGGAGAATTCAGTAGCACAGTATTACTCATTAGCACTGAATGAGACATCACATAAGAAATAATGTAGAGATGTTCTCTCTAAAAATAATAATTTTATTTGATGATTCTGGCTAAAACCGCACCGATTAGCATCTGCATCAGTTCTAAGGGTCTTCCAGTAATATTTGATTCAACTTTTAGATTATGCTTTCTGCTTCCCCAAGTCTGATATATGGAGTGGTTAACATAAACATATTTTCAGTTTCAGTTTGGAAAGGACAAGAGGCTTGATGGCCTGTGCTAGTCCTGGCAATGATGGTCTCTCAGCTGATCCAACTTTCTTTTGAAGGAGTCGATGGATGGAGCCTCAACCACGTGCTGAGGTAATGAATTCCACTCGTTTAATGATTCGATGGGAAAGTCGGTAGTCAGCTGACAAGTAATTCGTTCTGGGCTTGTAAACTTTCATGGAGTGTCCTCGTAGATTTTCTGTTTTGGAAGACAAGAAAAATGAGGGCATATCAGGTGCAAATTTGTCACTAAGCAATTTGAAAACTGCAATCAAGTCGCCTCTGATTCTTCTATATGACAGCCGGAATAGGTTTAGCTTGGTTAGTCTAGTACTGTACGGGAGCTTCGCTATTCCGGGAATCAGCCTAGTTGCTGTTCTCTGAACCCTTTCCAAGAGTTCACTGTCTTTTTTTAGGCAGGGGCTAGCTGCTTGTATGCAGTACTCAAGTTTAGGGCGTACGAACACTGTACACAAAGTCAGAAACGTTTTAGCGTCGAGATGCCTAAAAGCCCTGCGTATGGACCATAAGGTTCTAAAACCTTTGGCGGCTATTGCACGGCAGTGTGTAGTAGTCTTTAAGTCTTGACTGACGATGACGCCTAAGTCATTGTGTGCCTGGACAATAGGTAACTCAGTGTTATTCATCGTGTACGTATCTGTACCCTGGTGGCCAATATGCATCACAATACACTTGGAAGTGTTTATCGGCAATTGCCAGGTTTGGGACCATTCAGATAATCTCTCCAGGTCATTTTGAAGTTCTAAGCTATCACCCTTGCTTTGTATCGCTCTCCATATCTTGACATCGTCAGCATAGAGGAAAACCGATGACGATAGTAGACGAGGGAGGTCATTTGCGTACAGGAGGAATAATACTGGCCCCAAAACTGTACCCTGGGGAACTCCACTAAGCACAGTTTCCCAGCTGGACAACTTGGAGTTCACCCTTACTCTTTGTTGACGCTCAACTAGCAAGTCTTTTATCCACATCAATAGATTGCCTCCAATCCCGACATTCCTTAGCTTATATAACAGCCGGTTATGCGGAACTTTGTCGAAAGCTTTGCTGAAATCGGTGTAAGCCACGTCTATAGGTAATTTTTGGTCCTTAAGAGCGCACCAGCTTTCACGAGCGACTAATAAGTTTGTGAGACAAGAGTAACCTGTTCTAAAACCATGCTGCTTTTCGGAGAGGATCCGGTTTTCATCGAGATATTTTAACAGCTCCTTCCGAATAAACTTTTCTAAGATTTTAACAACCACACTAGTTAGGCTAATTGGTCGGTAATTCTCAAGCTTATGTTTTGTACCTGTTTTGAAGACTGGACTTACTATGGCGTTCTTCCGGTCTTTTGGTAGACGACCCTGGGTTACGGATAGATTAAAACATACACTTAAAGGGTTCGCAACAAAGTTAACTAATTCCTTTAATAACCTAGGATGCAGTTCATCGGGTCCAGTGGATTTACCTATGTCAAGCTTAACTAGCAGACCAAAGACATCGAGTTCTTTAATGGTCACGCTGTCCAGTGTTTGTATGGGGGGATTTTCATGGACTGGTGAGAAGGGTGTTTCTATGGTGTATACATTGCTAAAGTATTTAGAGAATACTTGAGCTTTGTCAAAGTCGTCCTCCATTAGTGATGAGGCAGTAATGTCTCCCCATAGTGAAGGAACATTTCTTCTTCTTTTTGCCCTTTGGTTTATATACGAATACAAGCGTTTAGGGCATTCTATGGATTCGTTAACGATTTTCTCTTTGTACAGCTTTCTGGACTTACGGAGGGTCGAGGTACAGGTATTTCGAGCCCAATAACCTAAATCTATCCCACATTTTCCTTCTTTTACGGAGAAGGATGCTAACTCCCCTACTGAATCACGGTGGGGAGTTTCTCGGCCCCTTAGGTGTAGTCCAAGGGGTGTGGGGGCGGTAACTTTTAAGTATAAATGCCGGAAAACGTCCAAAGCCGTTTCGATTGATGACTCTGGGTTTATTTTCCAATCTACTGATGATGCTGATTTCATGGTGTTCGGTATGTTTGCTTTCCAGACGTTAGGTCTGGATTGAGCTGAGGCGTGCTCGTGATTGACAGTTATATGGAAGCCAAAGCTTAAAACTGCATGATCATTTTTGCCTACGGATGACATGTAATCCAGGTTTGCAACGTCATCCGCATAATGAGTCAATATAAGATCTGGTAAGGATGATGCAGAACCCGTGTCGTACCTAGTTGCTTCCTTCACGTGTTGCACTAGGGCACATGTGATTACTGCATCAACTAGTTCCTGTTCGAAGGAATTTGCTGACGATTCAGTCCTCAGATTTCCCCAGTCCACCATGGGTGCATTAAAGTCCCCTAGGACTAGACATCGATCACTTCGTGATAAAGTGTTGAGACTGCTTAGCAGGATCTCGTTTACCTCATAGCTTGGACTGCGATAGATCAAACTAAGCAGTAACTCATGTCCCTTGCATTTCAGGCGGCAGCTAACTAATTTATACGTCCCACTCTCATGGGATACACTGTCGATAATGGTGAGCGGGACAGCATTCCTAATGAATAGAGCTACTCCCCCTCCTTTACGCGTTTGTATTCTATCGGCCCTTACCAATGTAAAACCCTCGAAATCAAGTTCCCTACTATCTATAGACGGCGTCAGCCATGTTTCTGTGACTGAGATTATGTCTGGCCTAGTTGAGTCAATCTGTACACCTAGTTCTGGTAGCTTATTGAGTAAGCGCCGGGCATTGGTATAACAGATTTGAAGCCTATTTAAGTGGCCTCGTGCTTCACCCAGAGTGGCTTCGGCATCATCCTCTGTCGAAGCCTCACAACCCGAAAATTTACAATTTTCAGGTCTTTTTCGCCAGCGTCTAATCTGAGCTGTAGTTCTTTTTCGGCTTCCCGTCTTTTTACACGGTCCGCCAACGGTAAGTCCTTACGGAGAAAAACTCCTGAACCCTTTAGTTTGTGTCCATTTTCTAAGATTAAGCCGCGTTCGTTTGGGGATTTGAAAAAGACTTTGAGCAGTCTAGAATGATTAGGCTTCAGATGCGCCAGGTTTCCTAGTCTATACACCTTTAGCAAGGTAACTCCGGAGATGTTTTGGGGCATAACTTGGTTGAGTAGTTGTTTTATCAACACAATGTCGCTCTGAAAACGAGCTTTCGGTTCTGAGCTGTCACCCTCCTTGACTCTATGGAAAATGACTGATCTGTCGCTGTGATCAGACTTCGGCTTTTCGACCTTTTAGGTGGGGGCAGGATTCTCTTTTACGTCATTTTGCCGTTTTTTCCTTACAACCCGTACCTAATCGTCGACGTTTAGCAAACAGTCTTTATCAGTGTTCCCATTTCTCATACTTCCACATAATTTGTACATATACTGTTATTGGTTCCGAAAATTTTGTCTAAATTTGACCCTGAACGTTTGTAACCAGTTTGTTATCATATGTTATTCATGATTTAATAATGCATGAAGTTAATAATAATATAGCGAAAAGCTTAACACAACAAACTGGATTATCTGTCCATGAATGAAGCGAAAACGATAACAAAGGGCACTTACAACAAAATGATGACAATTGATATGAAGTGAATGTTACTTGTAGGCTCCTACTGAAACAACAACTGCAAATGATTTCACCTGATGAACAAAAGCTTCCCTGCATGTGGTGGCCCCATCAGCGTGTCACGAGATGTAAATCCGATAGCGTTACTGAATATTTTTGCCGGTCACATTCGCAATATAATGCAGAACGGCCTAAAAGGATGCCATAACTCTATCACAAGATGTAATCAGTAAAAACGTAATGGTGTATGATTGAGATTGCCTTTGTTTGAATAACAAACTATGAGGTGAGTATTCTTAAGCCAATCATTTATGTTCACTTTTATTGATAATAATAGACAATAGATAGTGAATAAAAGATGCCATTGGTGTAACATCCATTTTGAAGGTGGAAATCCCTCCATGCATACATTTGTGATTTCTTCCTTGCGATTTCCTTATTTGTATATATTGTTGACTTTCTTGATGCTAATTAAGTCTGTAACGTTTAATTCTCTCGGTTTTCCTATCGTTTTTACTGAGTTTCTATGATCCTTACTGAACTGTATTTAATTTGTTTTAATTGTTATTATTCTGTCGGCTACCATATTGACTACTCGCTCTTTGATTTTGCGGTTTAATTTTGACTGGAATCGTGCATTTTTGGTTGTAAATTGTAGCACTTTCTCAGATATTGAAACACTTTGTGTTATAGAACATCCGCTCAAACGGAAACTTACTTGATCTATCCAGAAAGGATAGAATAACACTGACTTTTTGGTGCTTTCGGTAATTTCCATATACTTCTTACCACTTTGCTATTCATTGTAATTTAGATTGAATATTTTGGTATCAATTGTTGGTTGAATAACTGGGTGGTAATATTTGTTTAGGTGAATTTGTACATTTGTATATATGATGAAATCTAGAACCGTTATTACCCCCATCGCTTTGTTCTGATTTCGATTGTGGTGCGCGTCTCTAATTTTATTCGTCAGTTATTCAACATCCCAAACCTGGTTGGAAACTAGGTTTGGATTTTACAATAGGTATTTGAAGTTTGACAACGCCTTCACACGTA